GGGGGAGTGGGAGAGGGAGAAGCAGGCTTCCCGCCGAGCAGGGAGCCCGATGCGGGGCTCGATCCCAGGACCCTGGGATCGTGACCTGAGCCGAAGGCAGACGCCTAACGACTGAGCCACCCAGGCACCCCGGAACTGATGGTTCGAAGAGATGCTTGGATCTGGGGGAAATCCTTTGGAGATAAATTAAGGGAAGAGGTATGAGCAGTGAATATTCCTGCACTCTTCTGCCTACTGGCATCTATGGTGGCCAACACTATAGGGTGTCACGGGAAGGAAAAGGCTAGAGTTGTTTTATTGATTACTCAGCAATTTCTTTATATAATGCCTTCTGGGTATGGTGACCAAATAGGTTATTATTTTGAGAGTGAGAAGTGTGCTGTCAATAATTACACCCAGACAACAGCATAAAGTGGAACTGTGCCAAGCAAATTGGAGCATATGATTAACCTAACCAGGGGAAGAGACATTTTTCTTAGACCTTAGCACCATCGAAACCAGTTTAATTGCATTTTATGGATGTGGTGACTCTGTATTTCCTTCTTTGCTGTGGCTTCTGGGAATTTCAGAATCATATTTGTGACCAACTTTTTGAAATTGTGCTGGAATTACCAAGTGTATTTGTATACTTTCACCAGCTTTCTCTTATTCTTTGATCCTCATTTCTTTTTCTTTTTCCTAACGTTATTTTTTTTAATCTTATTGTATGTATTTTGTCAGATGTTTAGATGGATCATGTTTGAAGAAGTTGATGGGTGGATGAATACATATGTAAATAGATAGATGGGTGAATGGATGGATAGATGGATGATGAGTGGGTAGGGGTGTGTGTGTGTGTGTGTGTGTGTGTGTGTGTGTATAGATGGGTGGGTGTTTGAATCAATGAATAGATGGATGGGTGGTTAGACATTTGGATGGATGGATGAGTGAATGGATGTCAGATGGATGGATGTTTAGATGTTTAGACGAATAAAAAGATGAGTGCCTGGCTGAATATTTAGATGGGTGGATGCATTTTTAAATACATGGGTAGATATTTGGCTGGATAAATGGATAGATGAATAATAGGTGATTGGATAAATGGAAGGATGGTCAGCTGACTGGATATTTAGATGAATAGAGTTTAGCATGAACAGACATATGGAAGAAGAAATTGATAAATGGGTGTTTGGATGATGAGATAATACCTCCTCAGCACACAGTATAGATGTGCCAAGCATGTAATAATGTGTATAAAGTAATTTGCCAATGCCTGGCATGTCATGGGTAGTCTAACTTATTAGAAAGGACACACGTTTCTGAGACTTAAAGACCTCTCTGTTCTGATCCTTGCCCTGCCGTTTACTATATGACCTTGAGCAATTACCTATCCTCTCTGCACTTTAGTTTGTTCACCCATAAAATGAAGTTAAAATAACCACTCCAGAGGGTTGCTATGAAAATTAAGTCAGCTGGTGTGTGTTTCAGTAAATATCTGCATAATTCCTTCTTAGGTACAACTTGACAGAGAGAGAGAGAGAGAGAATTCTTTTACCCAAGTTTGGAGTAAAAGTGCTTCCCCTCAGTATCACAGATCCAACCTAAGTCATGTGCCCACCCTGGGACCAAGAGCTGCTGCTACATATGCTGTTTGTTAGACGACCAGGCTCCACCCCAGAGTTGGGACGAGGCCATCTTCTCCTGAGCCACCTGTTTACATGAAGAAAAGAAGGGAGGGAATGGTCTGGGGCTGCTGGTTCAGATTGGATGAGAGATGATGCCCATGCTGAGCAGGTGGTGGAATAGGTGACCAATGAGCAGACTGTAACCATGTTAAGGGTGTAGAAAAACCATGCTTTGGTAGCTGATTCGATGTCTGTGGAGAGATGGAAGGATAACAATATTCACAGGGACAAGGAACCCGAGGCAAGTGCAGGTTGATGAATTAAAGTCGGGCCATGTTGCCTTTGGAGTGTCTGGGAGATTCAGGGGGGAAAATATCTGGGGCTTTGGCAAAAGGTCAGGGCTGCAGAGAATGAGAAGTAATCAATATCTCAATCTTCATAAACCTGTGTGCCCTTTCAAACATAAAATCTTAAATCCTCTTTCAATGTTATTTAAAATGTTTAAGTGTATTAAATATAATGATTAAAAACAATTCAAATGACTTGCAGAACTGAGCCGGCTTCCCAGCTGATGCTGATGGCCACTGCAGGCAGGTTAGGTAGAAGCTTCTGTCTCTTGCACCTTTGGAGAGTCAGGCTACTTTGTTTTTCCCTCATCATGGCTGGATGGGTGGGCACAAGAAGTGGACTGCACAGCCCAGGCTCTGTTTTCTGGCATTTTTGTGCTGTTGTTTTCACTGAAGTTATCCCCTCTACTGGCTGCGTCCCTGGCAGGCAGATGTCTAGACAGTGCTTGGTCACCTCCGGAGTTAGGGAGCTCACTACCTCCCGAGAGAGCCTGTTTTTCAATGGACATTCCCACCTGCGAACTCTAATTGGCCCCCATGGGTTTCCTCCACTGTGTGTAGCTCTGCCTTCAGGACCAGCATGGAGAAAGCATGGAGCTGGGTGTCTCTGTGCCAGCTCCCCAGGCCTTTAAGGGAGCAGCCAGGCTTGCCTTCAGTCCCCTCTCTTCTTCGGGCCAGCGCTCATAGCTGGAACCTGGCTTCAAACCCCCCTCTTTGACCCCAGAGGGGAGGGACTGATTTTTCCTGTGAGGCACTTCCGGTTGTGCTTAGTTCAGACACTTCCGGTTCCACTGAGTACGGTACTTCCGGTTCCCCCAGGTGGGCACTTCCGCTCCCTCTTCCCAGACTCCCTGGGTTGTCTGTGGAGGCCAGGGCGAGTGTGGACCGAGACAGCGAGCCCCGGGAGCGGTTGGGCCAGGGTTACCGAGGCCCGAGGCAATGCTGGTGGTTCTCCCTGGGCCCCGGCACCCCCTGCTCGCTGCTCCCAGTGATGTGGCAGCCTGGGTCCCCCGGAGCTCCGGAGCTCCCAAGCTAGGCTGCCTCGTTCAAATCCTCCTCATACCACTTCCGAGGTGTGTGACCTTGGGCGGGGGTCTGGCCTCCCTGTGCCCCACTTTCTTCAGTGCCCTTGTAAAGTTGGAGTAAGGATGACAGTGCCCACCTCCCTAGTTACCGTGGGGTGTGAGGACAGAATGACATACGGGGTTCTCTACTTGGGTATAGAAGCGCTCGTTGGATGTAAACTAGGCGCGTTCCTATTACTCTCCGAGGTCTCTCAAATCTTTGGAGCTCCAGAACGGATAGCCCTTTGACCCCTGATGGGAAATGTTGAAAAAAGACTTTAAACAGCAAAAAAGGTGACCTTTACAAAGGCTACTGGCCATTGTTTATGAGACAGAAGCCTTTGTTATAACAAGGAATCTGGAGCCCTAGAAATTCAGGCTTCAGGCGCTGCTGTGGAAGGAAACTAGGCGGAGTATATGGACTTCTCTCTCATTCCAGAGGTTCTGTGTTTTGGTGATATGCAAGGTTCATTTTATTCAGTACTCCCCACTTCACAAAGTCATGAGCTCTCCATCTCTGGGAGGCTTTCACGTAAACTGAAGAGAGCCGGTTTCCAGGGGGGGGCGGGTTTTAGACAGGGCCCCCGCATGCTGCTACTGTCGAGAGGCTTTTGAGGGAGGCAGAGCTGGGTGCGAATCTTGCCTGCTTCACTGTGGTGAGAGCATCCTGCACTGCCCCGTAAGGAGGTGGCTGGCCTTATTGCAGCGCCAGGCTCTTCATCTTTGTCATCTTTGGGGCCACAGCCTCCAGCAAGGACTTTAGTGAATACCTATTGAGTTATCCCCGAACCAGTCACGCCCTAGGGTGGCTTCAGTGGTAGGAGGGAGAGGGGACTCCCAGGCCCTTCCTCTGATCCCTCTCCCGGCCCTCATTTTGCAGACATCGACGAGTGTGAGAATGACTACTACAATGGGGGCTGTGTGCACGAGTGCATCAACATCCCAGGGAACTACAGGTGCACCTGCTTTGATGGCTTCATGCTGGCCCACGATGGACACAACTGCCTGGGTGAGTGATGCGGCCGTGCCCTGCCCGCTGGGCCTCAGCTCCAGCCTACAGTGCTGGGGGCGGTGGGAAGGCTCGTCCTCCTCTGGTTCCTTGTATTGCTTTGCTGGGGCCTCCAGAACAAAATGGCCCAGACTGGCCAGCTTAAACAACAGGAAATTTATTTTCTTACAGTTCTGGAGGCTAGAAGACCAAGGGCAAGATGTTGGTAGGTGTGAGGCCTCTTTCTGAGGCTCTCTCCTTGGCTCACAGAGGGCCATCTTCTTGCTGTGTGTTCACGTAGTCCTCTCTCTGGGCCTACATGGAGCTGGTTTCTCATGCCCTCTCTTTTTCTCTCTGCCCGTGTGTGTGTGTGTATGTGTCCTAATCGCCTCTTCTTATAAGGACACCAGTCTTATTGGAGTGAGGCCCCTCCCAACAACCATTTTTAACCCAGTTACCACTTGAAAGACCCTGTCTCCAGATAAGTCATGTTCTGAGGTCCTGGGGGTCAGGGCTTCAACACCTGGATTTGGGGAACACAGTGCAGCCCATCACAAGTATACTCATATGCCTCCAGATTCTCATGGTTCAAGTACATAGATTTAAGCCAGTTGTATGAAATTTAGAAGAGTAACACAAGCTTGCTGGATCAAATTAGGAAGATGCAGGAGAAGAAGGAGAGAAATTGGAAAGCAGTGTCGTTGTGCTGGTGTGTCTCTTCGCAGCCCTCCCTGCCCCCAGGTGTGGTTTCCTGGGGTGGCAATCAGTGGTCCCCGTCACATGCCCCTCAGGTATCCTCCACCCCCATCCACCCCAGTTATCACCGTTTTGCCAGCTGTCTCATAATGTGAGAAGTGATTCGTGAGCCAGAGTGACAAACAACTCAGGGCTATAACGATGTGACAAACTCAGTGGCCCAAACACCAGAAATTTGTTCTCTCCCAGGCTGGAGGCCAGACATCTGAAGTCAAGCTGTCAGCAGAGTTGGTTCCTTCGGAGGGCTTCCAGGGAGAATCTGACCCAGGCCTCTCGCCTGGTTTCTGGTAGCTTCCAGCATTCTGTGCTTGTAGATCATGGTCTCCCCATGCTTTCACATGGTCTGTGCTCTGTGCAGGTCTGTCTCTGTGTCCAAATTTCCCTCTTCTACAAGGGCACAGTCCCCTAGTCCTGTGACGCCCCTGCAAAGACCCTATCTCCATTGGAGGTTACAGCTCCACAAAGACTGGTCTTTAGGACTTCAGCATCTTTGGGGGGATATAATTCATAACAGAGGTGGTTTGCAGTCTGCAGCAGGAGGACCATCTCATGGCAGAGAGTACAGGGTCTCAGAGCAGATGTGCCTGTCCCCCAGGCTCTCCTCTGCTGCTGGCTGCTGAGTGACACAGGGCCCAGCAGCTAGAGCTAAGGAGGTAAGCCCGTGGACTGAGCAGAAGCGCGGCTGTGGATCCGTTATTCATGTCTCAGGGTCTCAGTCCCTCATTGGTAAAGGGAGGGTACAAAAAGCAGCTTCGTCCCGGGCTCTCGTGAGCAGTGACCGAGACGGTGTCCTGCTGCCTAGAGCACTCCCAGCACAGCATTCCCCTCCTAGTGGCCGTCACTCCCGTCACAACCCCTGAGCCTGCTTCCCCGCTGTCAAAGCCGGGTGATTATGCTGTCTACTTCACCAGCTTGTGCGCAAGGATGGAGTGACACGGTGAGCGAAGTGACTGGCATTTAGCGGGCGCCAATCATCACCGAACAGGGCATTACTGTTACTCTGGGTGACTCAGCCTCCCTTTTGTGGTGGGACATTTAGATTGTTTGTTTATTTTGTTTGTTTTATTCCTACCGTCAGAATCCCAAGGTTTGATTCTGGGCATAGATTTATTTTTTCTTGATTTCCTAATTGTTTCCTTTAACCATTCTTCCCGGAAGTGGAATGACTGGGTCAGAAGGTCAATGAGATGTTTTTATGGCTTTTGGTGCGGGACTTTGTGAAAGGGCTCGGCAGACCTTGCCGGTCGGTGCATGGAGTGGCAAGTGCGGCGTCCCGAGTATTCTAGAACTCTTCCGCCCAGTGGTGGATTGGCCTTAGATTTCCCTGCCTGTTTTTGTTTAGTGCATGTTGGATCTCAGACAGACTTGTTATGGGAAACAGACCTGCGAACATGTAATTACACCCAAAATAAGTGCTGAAATGGAGGTCTGGACAGCAGGCTGTGGGAGCCCCAAGGGGCCTGTGAAGAGCTGCCCCTGCACTGGGTGAGGTGGGGCTGGAAGTGGGGTGGCTTCCCAGGGGGCTTCAGAGAGGAGGTAGCCTGGAGCAGATTCTGCAAAGGTTGGGGAGCAGCTGGCTGGGACGAGTGCACGGCCTGTGCAGAGAGCCGCGGGGTGGGGGGGGCTCCTGGGGGCTGAGCTCAGGGTGGATGCAGAGGTGGGCAGGGCATTTGGTTAGATTGTAAAGATTGGGGATGTGCCGTAGGACCTTTATTGTGCCAGACACCAAGTGAAGTCTCGTCCGAGCATTATCTCATTTAATCCTCCCAAAGCACAAGCCCTGAGTTTTATCAGTTGTTTGCCCCTGTTTCAGATGACACCAGGAGTTCACTTCAGTAACTGATTAGTCTGGGAAGGCAGAGCTGATATCCCCATGAGACAACAGGCAGTAGCACCCAGTGGCCCAGATGGCAGGCCTTGGGAACCGCCCGTTCTGGGCTCAGGTCCTGGCTCTGCCAGTTATCAGCTGTGTGACCTTTGGCCAGTCACTTCACCTCCATGCCTAGTTTCCTCACCTGTAAAATGGAATTCATAGTCCCTATCTCATGAGGATTGAATGAGATAGTGGCTATAGAACATCTAGCAGAATGCCTGGTATCGAGCATTCACAATGTCATGGGCATCGATCTTGCTCACCGACTTTCAGAAAGAAATGCATTGGGGTGGGCCTGTGGAGGCCAGAGCCAGCCATCAGCACTCCCAGGACTGTGTCTGACCCATGGGGCTCCCCTTCTGGTCATAGCACTCTTCCCTGTGCAGAACCACCTGTTCCTAAATACGCTTGTTCTGGATGTTGGCAGGTGTACCCAGTGCCTCCTGACTAACGGCAGAGTCTGGGTGGGTTTATTTTTATTTTTACAATGGATTCTTTTTACACTGATTAATTTGAAGAACTGGGTAAGACTCCCCCACCCCCACCTCCGAGCACAGATTGTAACTTCATACGGCTCTAACTCACACATATGGCAACAGAGAAAAGGCTTTCTCTGTTGCTCCTCTGCTTTTAGCTGAGGGCAGAACCTTCCCAACAGACATGTTTTTTGTTTGGGCTTTTTCCTTCTCAAAACAAAACTCTAGCTCTAGAGAAGTCAGACCTTGGTTCCAACCATCTCCATCCCACACTGACCACGTAACCTCCCGGAGCCTCACATCCCTCCTCCATAACATGCGGTGAGAGATAAAGTGCCTGATATGGTGTCTGTGTTGGCAGAAACACAGAATGCTGGAAGAGGAAGCTGGGCTTGGAATTTGAAGATTTAGGCTCAAGCTCTGGCACCACTGCTCGTGAATCAGTGGTTTGGGACCAGTTCCTCAAACCCTCCAAGCAGGTTCCCCTAACTGCAACATGGGTCAGTAATCCCTGTCGCGGAGGGTCACCATGACGGTTAAGTAAGAAAGCAGGTACGGAGAACTGCATGTACAGATGTCACATTTTGCTCAGGTGCTGGATATTGTCATTGTGTTGTCGTGGAGGTTTCAAGCAGGCAGCCTGCCATCCTCATCCAGCCTGCAAACACGTTTGGCTTATCCTCCCAGTGTTTTTGTAATCATCACCATTGTCGTAATCCTCATTGAATGATTTGTCGACGTTTAAAAATCAAGGGAGCGTTCTAGAAGGGAGGGGGGTGGGGGGATGGGTTAGCCTGGCGATGGGTATTAAAGAGGGCACATTCTGCATGGAGCACTGGGTGTTACACACAAACAATGAATCATGGAACACTGCATCAAAGACTAATGATGTAACGTATGGTGATTAACATAACATAATAAAAAAAAATCAAGGGATGTCACAGAATAGATCACATACTAGGCCACAAAACAAGCCTCAACAAATTCTAAAAGTTCGAAGACATACATGCATCTTTTCTGACCACAGTGCTATGAAACTAGAATTCAACCACAAGGAAAAAAATATGAAAAGACCACAAATACATGGAGATTAAATAAAATACTACTACACGGGGCACCTGGGTGGCTCAGGTGTTAAGCGTCTGCCTTCAGCTCAGGTCATGATCCCGGGGTCCTGGGATTGAGCCCCGCATCCGGCTCCCTGCTCCATGGGAAGCCTGCTTCTCCCTCTCCCACTCCCCCTACTTGTGTTCCCTCTCTCGCTGTGTCTCTCTCTGTCAAATAAATAAATAAAATCTTTTTTAAAAAATAATAAATAAAAAATAAAATGCTACTACACAATGAATGGGTCACCCCGGAAATAAAAGGAGAAATAAAAAAGGACATGGAAACAAATGAAAATGAAAACACAATCGTTCAAAGTCTCTGGGATACAGCCAAAGCTGTTCTAAGAGGGAAGTTTATAGTAATATAGGCTTCCCTCAAGGAGCAAGAAAAATCTCATATAAGCAACCTAACCTTATACTTAAAGGAGCTGGGAAAAGGACAACAAACAAAACCCCAAACCAGCAGAAGGAAGGAAATAATAAAGATTAGAGCAGAAATAAATGAAATAGAAACTAAAAAAAAACCAAAAACAAAAAACAATAGAATGGATCAATGAAACCAGGAGCTGGTTCTTTGAAAAGATAATAAAATTGATAAACTTCTAGCCAGTCTTATCAAGAGAAAAAGAGAAAGGACCCAAATAAATGAAATCACAAATGAGAGAGGAAAAATAATAACACATACCACAGAATACAAACAATTATAAGAGAATATTAGGAAAACTTGTATGCCAACAAATTGGATAACCTGGAAGAAATGGATAAATTCCTAGAAACATATAAATTACCAAAACTGAAGCAGGAAGAAAT